TTACACACAATATAAGAAATAAATAACAATAACTGATACAAAACAACTAATAAATAAGAATAGTACATTCTCACACACATCATCCATGATGATTAATTGTTATTTTTGGTTGCATTTAGTTTTGTTATTGCTGTCGGGTAAAACCTGTCACTAAGACGGTTGGTTCTTGTTCCGATTGCTCTGTATTGTCTGCCTGAAGGCAACAGTGTAAACAGAGAATGTCCGGATGAATTTGAAATTTCTCTGGGAAAAACCTTCCTTCAGTGCCTGATGATTTGGTAACAGATTTTATAATAGTTTGAGATACGCAACAGCATTTTGAATAGCAAGAGAACAGAAATGAATTCAGGTTCAACCAGTCTACAAATTGTTGTTTTCATACTTGTTTCAATCTGAGGTTGATTTGCTGCCAAAAAAAAAAAAAAACATTAAAAGATGTTTTCAAAGTTAGAATAAAGATTTCATAAATCTTAAACAGTGTTTAAATAATCCAATTTTAAAGATACAGTTTTAAAACTGAACATAGAATCCATTATTATTCCCAAACTCTTGAATAGGACACCAATCTCAGCACCATTAGCCAGTTTCGGTGTTCATCCATGTTTTATGAAAATGTTTCACAGTGTAGAACTTGGGTGGGGCCTTCTTCCCTGTCACTGACTAGACATTTTATTTATGAATCCTTTGTTTTGTCCCCTTAGGGGTCGTCACGGAAAGCCATCATACAAAGCCTTGCCAGAGCTGAATGCTTTAACAGGGATTCAAAGAAACCTGCTTAAAAACAAGAGGGCTCGCTAGATGTGCCAGCAAGCAATAGAAAAGTTGTTCTAGTTTTTGTTTCTTGTGACATTTTATGCGGCAAGTCAGAGTCTGTCTGGAAAAAAGCTGAAGAACAGCTATATATTCTGAATGTTGACGCAGGAAAAAACATTTAGATGCGTGACTGGCTTTAAAGTTCCTCATTTCAATATTTCCTCAGTTGGTTTTGAATAACAGCGTTTTTAGGTAAAACCTGAACCATAAGGCTTTAACTGACAGGAAAAACATCTCTGATCTCATGTGATCAAGGTTTTTTCAATATTACAACTTCACTTTTTTAAATGTTTCTTTTTCATTGTGGGAGATGAAACACTTTTCTGACGCGGTGATTAAATACCAATGACTTCATTGAGGTTGCTCCACAGTTTCAGCAGGTGCAACAAACATGTCTCGACTACTTCCTGGCAAGAAGTCAGTTAGAGGCGGAACAACTTTATATTCACCTGTTATGGGAGTGGAAACCAGTCTGACCACTTCCAAGAACATATGACAGGTTGTGCTTTTTCCACAGTAATTTGGTACTTAGAAACAAGCACTAATGGCCTCCTGTGTTGCCCAACGTGTAAATGGGTCCACTGTGAATCAGGGAGTTTTCACGTTTATTCCATCCATTCAGCAGTTTTTGTTTATTGATGTTGTTGCTTGACATTTGATGACAACAATATCTCATGAATAAATGTAACTAATATCAAATATTTTATAACTTGATTAACAACATAAAGAAAAGTTCGATAGTAATAAGATAAAGTTTTTTTCCTGATTTTTTTATTCAAGCACAAACCTTTAACTGGACTGAATAGTTCAATAGAATGCATTAAAAATGTAAAAACTGTCTCTTTTTTTTATACAACTGATTAATAGGGAAACTCATTGAATAGCATAATTTATTAGGTGTAACAAATGAAAGATGAATAAAACATTTAAATGGTATGTATGATCCTAACAGCGGTGCATTGATGACTTAAACTAGACTTAGACTTAGACTACTTTTATTGTCAAATTTGTGTATACAAAATAAAATGTTGTTTTGTACAACTGTCATGACATTTCCATTTCTTATGATTTCAAGTGCAGCAGTGATCAAATGTAAACAGTGTGTGAGAAGAAATATGTTTTGGTTTGGTGTTATCAGTAATCCTCTCTGATCCTCTTCTCTACCCTTAATATATGCAAAACCTTCTTCTGACAATCAATAGATTTGATGAGCTGAAATTTTTATGTTAAAAATATTGAAAAAGGTGAGGTTAGTGTTTTTGTCATGCCTCAATAAGCTACTGAGTAATGGCTAAATTACTGTTTATAAATAGCCCACTGAAACTATGACTGTTCCTGAGTAATTACCCTGAGGGTGCACTGATCACAATAACCTGCCCCATTTGGATCAATCAAATTATTCAATGTTTGGTGTCAAACAATCACTGAGAGCAGTTCCGATCTGATCCTACGGGTTTAGTTTTGATGTCACAAGAAGAGAAAAAAAAAAGTTAAATTCATGACGTAAGAACAGTTCCTGACTTCTAATCTCTCTGCAATTGAGATGATGTTTTTTAATTGGTATTGTGACTGTAATAATAAATGTAGCTCCCCTTGATTTTGAGCACAATGCGCAAAACTGGAATATTAAATCATTAATTAGATTACATTGAACAGTCTCTATTCTAAAACTGAATCCATGTTTGTTCTGCATACCGTCACACCCCTGAATGAGACTGTGTAAAGAGTTTGGTTCACTGTGAGCCGTTAAACTCGGAGGACTGGGCTTGCTTCAGCGTACCTGCTGACACTTGTCACTTCTCCTCCCTCTAGCATTTTCTCATGGTTGGAGCCAAACTTCTGAGTGGTTGCTCAAGAAATATGTAACGTTGCTCTTGAAGAATCAGTTTTTTTGCACAGTTCACTTATCTGGCATATAAGCACAATTAGCAGATCGATGTTAAGGTTCACCTGCATCAACTAATATAAATTTTTGGCCTAAATAATTAAAGTTTATTTCAATGCTCTTTGTGAGCAATATAAGTCTTTGCAATGATGGTCCTTTCTCTATAGAACCTCAACATCAGATTCATCCAGGCATGAAAGCATCTGTCCTCGGCATCTTAATTGTAGAAATTCCTCCTTGCCTTTTTTATGCACAGAACTCAATCTCCGCTGCCCTCCTTAGGTCCCCATACTGATCCCTTCCTTGGATAAAATAGAGGCATTATGACTGTAAAGGTAGCCCTGGCCCTTAGACACTACCTCCATTCATTTTTTTAGACTATCCTGGTCTCCCTTTACCTCACCCGGGCCCCTTGTCTCCCTTTTTTTTGTGTGTTGCAGCAGAAAACCTTCGAAGATTGTGCTCGCCATTTTTCAAACTTCTCCCACCTGATGTCTTTCCACTGCATTGGAACAGCTATTGATAATTCAATCGGGGATCTGGACTACAGAACGTACATTCCCTTCTAAGACAAGCTGTTCCTCGCTGCTCCGGCCGTTCATCCTTTAACAACTGACATCATAACAAGGTCAGCCTTTTTTTTTTTTCTCTCATGCTCATTTCTTGGTTACCACAAAATAGGCCTGTAGGAAAGACGACCCTAAAACGTTTTTACTTGTAGGCAAAATCTAGAAATTGACCAGTTTCAGGTGACGTGGCCCAGGTTCTAATAGATTTGATTGACAGCTTTCATGAAGAAAAAAGAAATATAAATTTGCATCGTTCTGTTTTCACTCAGCCGAAGCAGCTTTTTTTTTTTTAACTGTGAATAGAAATATTTTGCTTTTGCTGCATTAGGGTTTATGAAGTTAAAAGAACTAATAGGAGCTATTTTGGAATTTTATAACCTATTATATTTTGTGTAATGCTGAGTGTATTGTATTTTGTAACATGGGAATTTTAGCATGGAATAATAATAAAAAAGCCAAATCAAAATTAAAAAACTTATTTTAAAGGTCTTTTTTTCTACATCTAAAAAGACATCCACACACCTTTGAATGTTTGTGGTTTCACTGCCTAAAAACATTAGTTTTTTTTTTACATTTTCACCAGTGGGAAAAGGGTTGAAGGAAGTTTATGATTCCTTTATAACAAAATGTAAACAAGGTAAATGGCTAGAATAATCTGCAAAGTGCTGTAGCTACAACATTTAATCCTGAGGGCAGGTAAATGAATACCTTGGTTTAATACATAAAGCACTGTTCAAACACTGCAATTGATAGGGCATACGTCCTGCTCTGTATATCAGTAGTAACTTAATTTTGAAGTCAATAAAGATCTGATTAAATGCTTTTTGTATAAAATGAATTGAAAGCAAGGCTTAAAAAATTAAACAAGAGAAAGAAGGCATCTTGCCCTTCTGCATACAATACAAATACTGCATATTTAGCTCTGGGATAAATCTGTGAAAGTACTAGAATCCATTTTTTTTTTGACGATGATATTCAAAACCTGAAGGATTTTCTTACAGAGTCCTTCAGCAGCACAAGAAAAAAAATGTATCTGATAATTGGGGAGTGGTTGTTTTTTGCCTAATATTTGGGTATACCAGAGCAGCTAAATGTTTATGAGTCATGCAGAGGCTTTGAAAACCCGATCAGGACAAACACCTGACATGATGACACATGCCTAGAGGTGGGGAGTTGGGGTGAGTGTAGAACCAACGTCACAGCTCTGCTTGAAACAGTGTTAACATGAGACAACCCCCTTCCTGGGGAGACTGTGTATAAAAGACTTGCTCGTACCCTGCACTAACATTCACTGTTGCGATCTCCCTCAAGTGAGACTTGGACAAAGACAAAGCTTTTGGACAATTTCCTTTTAGAAGCAGAGTTACCTTCTGAGACATGGTGTCTGCAGGAATGCAGATCTTGGGCATTGCCCTTGCCATCATCGGCTGGATTGGGACTATCATTACCTGCGCTCTCCCAATGTGGAAGGTCTCAGCGTTCGTCGGTAGTAATATCGTCACTGCTCAGACCACTTGGAAGGGAATCTGGATGGAATGCATTGTTCAGAGCACAGGCCAGATGCAGTGCAAGGTTTATGACTCCATGCTGGAGCTTGACCAAGATCTTCAAGCAGCCCGGGCATTGATTATAATTGCCATTCTCATCGGCATTGTTGCCATTCTTCTAGCCGTTGCAGGGGGCAAGTGCACCAACTGCGTGGAGAATGAGAGCTCCAAAATCAAGATTTGCATTGCAGCAGGAGCCATGTTTATCATCGCTGGTGTTATGTGCCTCATCCCTGTTTCCTGGACGGCAAACAATGCCATAAGAGACTTCTACAATCCAATAAATGTTGGACAGAAAATGGAGCTGGGAGCTGCACTCTTCATCGGTTGGGGGTCCGCTGCTCTGCTCATCCTGGGTGGGGGACTTCTCTGTGCCACCTGCCCTCCCAAAGATGAGTACTCTGCCAAGTACTCAGCTCCTCGTTCAACTGCTCCAAAGGACTACGTCTGAGAGGGTGAAAGCTTTAAGAAAAGACTGTGCTTTATTTCTGAAATGTTTTTCCTAGTGACTGTTTTGTGTTTAGGATTTAGTCTGATGCTTTCTCGCTGAGCTCTTTGAATCATCATGGGAAAAAGACACGGACCACACCCAAATAACTGTAGCTGCAGCATAAAAATGTTTGAGAAGCGGGAAAGAGCATGAAGACATTTTTTGAACATCTTCTCTTGTGTTACTTCAATATATTATATTTTTTATGCATTTCATTTGTTTGTTTTTTGTTGTTGTTTTTTTTTACTTGTTTAAATTGTTCATTCAAAATGCCTGTTATAAAAGATTCTGTATGAAACTGTAAATAAAAAATATTTCGTATTACTTCTCAAATTGAACACATGGTTTTATTTAGTTTTAAGACAAGCATAAATAAAGAAATTAGGGAAACAGGGGCTTCTATAGATCTGCTCTGGTTTGTACCATTATTTGAATATATATGAGTTTATGTACCTACATACCTTTCAAAAAGGATATTGATTTTCTTATAACTCTTATATCTAAGACTGGGAAAAAAACAAACAAACTGTGCAAGTAATACTGGCCTCATAAATGGACAAGCATGTCATTATTTTTTAGTAGCTTTAAAATCCACAATCCATCTTTCCCAGGTGGACCCGACACCTTTGACCTTTTCAGATTCAGATACTTTACAGGGTAATTTTCAAATGTTTTTTTCAAGCCTTCTTTGCAATAAAACAATTAAATAAATAAATACCACTCAACTGTCTACTAAGTGGTGCTGGGAATTTGGTTTACTAGGAAGAGTAGCGTTCTTGCAGCTGGAATTTTTTATGGTGGCCTTATTTAATCTTTTTCTTGTACAGGGAACTTAGACAAAACCTGCCCACCACATCTGTGGATCAAAGGAAATTGTGGGGATGAATACAAACAGTAGGGCAGATAACATATGTAGAGCACTTAAACATGTGTATTTCTCCTAAAGCACTCTTTCTGATTCTACCAACAGTAGTCTAAATCCTTTAAAAACATCACCTAAAACCAAGGTACACTGATAACTTTCAATAATGAGCATTTTTAAGGATTTCGAGCTACCATGATAAACTATATAATAAACTATATAATACGAATTCCAATATTTTTTGAATAAGTTTAATGATTTGACTGGCTTAAATAGGGGGAATTGTTGTATAAGTAGACAGCTATGCAATACTGCCCCACACTGTAAGGAAGAGAAAATATTTATTTTGCTCATACTAATGCTCACATTTGCTATTTGCTGTTATTTTAGCACTCTGTTAGGGAAGGTATATACAGGTTTGTTTGAGCAACTTGGTAATCGAACTTCTAAGTCAAGGGTCTGCAACCTGCGGCTAATTGCCTCTTCACTGTGGCTCTAACTAAACCAAATAAGTAATATTCTAATAGTCAAGGCAATAGTGGTTATCATGCAGTATCTGCATAGAATATCTTATCGCCAGTGATGCAACAGTTTCAAAATCAATTGACTATTTTTTAGCTTTAACTATGTGTTCTTCATCTCTCATATTTATGGGGCTCACCCAGCTTGACTTATTCTAAAAAATAAAGCATTTTTCCCCTCCTTGGTATAAGGTTAAATTAGCATTTTTCTATTATTAAAAGAAAAATCTTTGTTTAATTTCCGTGGCTTTTGACATACAATATACGTACATAAAATCTTTAGTGTGGCTACTAGCAGATTTTATTCAGTGGTGGTGTGACAATTTGAGTTCAAAAGGGTGCAGACCTCTGTTTTACGAGGTAATTCATAAAGTAGCATTAACCGCAGTAGCATCCCATGAGTTTGAAAAGCTGATAAATGTCAGAAACTGATCAGTTATTGGCCCTTGTTTTTTTAGGGCCGTAGTTGTGATCTTTTTTCCTTAAACCTGAACTCTACTGGCAATTTAAAGCGACGTCCTGTTTGCCTTGTCATATATTTATGTCATTTTTGCAGGGGTGTCAAAAGTACACACATTTGGGCGTGGCCTAGGTCTCAACATGGAGTAGACGTGTTTTGAGGGAGCTCCGACTTAACTCCACTATTTTCTCACCCTAAATAATAATATTTAAACTTCTGCCTAGCATATTCATAGTGCACTATCACAATATGAACAGAACGACCAAGCCCAAACTTAATAAGAAAGACAAAGATATCAATATATGAGATATATGAGATCAACGGATCAATTTCCAGTCTCAAAGCGGCGCTTTTGGATATTTGTGACCGTGTGACATCAACCGAGGGCGCAGTTGGGTCACAGGATAGACGGATTTCGGAGCTAGAAAAGTACACACATTTGTTACTTAAGTAGAAGTATAAATAATGCAGTTGAAAAACACCCTGGTAAAAGTTGAAGTATCAACTTGACCTCTTTACTCAAGTAAAAGTGAAAAAGTACGAGCTCCAAAAACTACTGAAAGTATAAAAGTATAAAGTAACCTTTAAAAAAAAAAACAGACAGATGCCATTATATGAATTGAAAGCTAAATTTTTCGACTATTTCAAAAAATTCTTTGATAGGGCCAAGGATGAGGGAGGTCTTGTTGGTCTCCGTCTCCATCTTCCGATACGCTCTCACCTGTGTCTGACCTTTCAGACATTTCAACATCTTTTTCTGAATCCGACATTGTAGCATGGCATAGACAATTAACGTTTGCAGTTTTTGAAGAATACCTGCTTGCTTCTGATGATTTTCTTTGGCGTCAGCATAAATTTGACAAATAGCTAATGAGTGTTTGCGTTATATGACTCATCCAATTACACCAGTTTTCACTAGATGTGGATGGCACCAATGATCTACATTGGATGGCGCACATGACGTGAAAAATATTCATAAACATTAACCAGAGCCAAGAGTAACGAGTAATGTTTGTTTTAAAAATATAAGGAATAGAAAGTACATATACTTGTGTGAAAATGTAATGAGTACAAGTCAGAAGTAGGAAGAAAAATAAGTAATGGAGTAAAGTATAGATCCCTAAAAAGTGTACTTAAGTACAGTAAAGAATTATTTGTACTTCGTTACTTGACACCACT